AAATTAGTCAGTATAATTGTATACCCTGCTGGTATAATTATATGTCGTGTTGGTATCGTATGGTAGTTGTGATATTTTTAGTTGGTTTAGTTGCATTTTAAGTGAATTCTATTTTTGAAATTATTTTATATGAACATGTTTTGTAGTGTTGGGATTTCCTTGTGCCTATTGACTTAGATTATAAACCAAAGGTTGATTGGGATACCAATTGCCATGTTATTCGTCAATTGAAAGCGAATTTATCAAAGCGGCAACTTCGACTGTTTAAGAAAACATGCTTTGGCTATTTTTTGGATCTGCCACCAATGATTGTGCAGATTCGTGTTATGCACCATTCGCTTATGAGAGAAGTACATCATGAGGTTAAAAATGAGATGCGGTTTGTAGTGAATGATTCTAGGTTGCGGTTTGGCTTGGGTGAATTTGCACTTGTTACTGGGTTGAAATGTAAGGGTTATACAAGTATAGAGAGCATAGCAGAGAATAGGTTGATTTCAAAATATTTTGANTGACATAGTACTTGAGTCTGGAAGGGGGAGGCAATGCTATTTGACATAGTTCTTCTAAAAAATTACATTTATGTTCTTTATCCGATTGTTGCGTAACTGGTGTTTTGTTGCAATGGCAATGGCACACATGATGTTTCCCATAGAAGTTTTGTGCCTATAGACATAGTGTATGTGTGTTATGTGATAGTTTTTATAGTTATAGACAGTTGTTGGAACAACCCCGTACAACTATTTACCCTGTTAGTATAGCTATATACTATCATATGCTTCTGGATCTTTTTTTAGCTGTCTTCGCTATTTGTTTTTCCTTTAATAATAGTAGTATCGTACAGTATCTTGAAAATACTTTATAGCTGCATTCCTTTTTGCTTTTTCTCTTTATTCCTATCTGTTATGTAATAGTAGTATAGTCATTTGTAGTTGCCGGAAATTAGTCAGTATAATTGTATACCCTGCTGGTATAATTATATGTCGTGTTGGTATCGTATGGTAGTTGTGATATTTTTAGTTGGTTTAGTTGCATTTTAAGTGAATTCTATTTCTAAAATTATTTTATATGAACATGTTTTGCAGTGTTGGGATTTCCTTGTGCCTATTGACTTAGATTATAAACCAAAGGTTGATTGGGATACCAATTGCCATGTTATTCATCAATTGAAAGCGAATTTATCAAAGCGGCAACTTCGACTGTTTAAGAAAACATGCTTTGGCTATTTTTTGGATCTGCCACCAGTGATTGTGCAGATTCGTGTTATGCACCATTTGCTTATGAGAGAAGTACATCATGAGGTTAAAAATGAGATGCGGTTTGTAGTGAATGATTCTAGGTTGCGGTTTGGCTTGGGTGAATTTGCACTTGTTACTGGGTTGAAATGTAAGGGTGGTACAAGTATAGAGAGCATAGCAGAGAATAGGTTGATTTCAAAATATTTTGGGACTGCATCCGTGACATTTGCCCAACTAGCAGACTGTTTTAAGAAGAAGAAATGGGAAACGGATGATGATGCGTTGAAGATAGCAGTTCTGTATTTTGTCAACAGCTTCTTATTTTCTCAACTCAAAACAAAGGCTATTTCACGGTCTTACATTGACTTGGTTGAGTCTGGTGATTTTAATAATTATCCCTGGGGTATAGATGTTTATAAAGCTACAATTGACTCGTGTTCCAATAAGTTTCAAGATAAGCCTTCTTTTTATAGACTTGGTGGCTTCCGGTTGGCTTTACAGACTTGGTTGTATGAATGCTTCCCAAGTTTGGATGGTCACTTTGCTGATCATCTTGGAAACAACAAACTTCTACGAATTTTGAAATGGGTAGTCTTGGGTCAAATCCATAATGAGCGAGTTGCTTTGCAAATGTGTAGCTTGCAACGCAAGCAGGTAATTTTCTCATAGTTTTATTGCCTCTCTTAATGTTTTGGTACACTAGTTTAGTCACAGTTGTAGCAATATCCCAGTTTAGTGATATACTCTGTTGGTATACATGTATACTATATTGGTATCATGTATACTATATCCCAGTTCAGTGATATACTCTGTTGGTATACATGTATACTATATTGGTATCATATGGTAATATGGATCTTTTTTCTTTCATACTTTATTATCATTTCTATTTCTAACTAGTGTGCTTAATAATTGCAGCTAAAGAACATCACCCCAACTGATGATGAGAAGAAACAATTTGATGTGCGTGGTCTAAGCTTTGAAATTGAAGTTGAGTGCACTGACAGCCAACCCAGCCAGCCCGATAGCTTTCAGGTTTTTGGCACTCAATTACCAAAGACACAAAGTATGCCTGAAAGTACTGGAGGTGATTCCCAACCTACCAATGCTGAGGTAATGAAGGAGTTACAAGCTTTGAAGCTTTTTGTAGAGAACAAGTTTGAGGAGGTGCTTGCAGCTATTGGTAGGCAGTCAGTGAAACCAGAGGGAAATTCAGCGGTATTCATCTTTTATATAATATAATGCTATAGTATATTGTTCAAAGATGCAATATATGCTTATAGGATACTATTCCATTCTTTACTTTTAGTGCACATAGTATTCTTGTAATATACATAAGACTAAAATTGTTAGTTTCTCATTTTCAGCACAAGCAACAGGATGATGATTTGCGTTCTGGTAAAATGTTGTATATGTAATTTTTGATTATTTTTTTATTTATTTAACTCTATGTATTTGTGCATTGACTAACCTTTTTTTTAAAAAACTTTTTTCAGCCCCCTTCGTAAATGAGCATGATTTTGGCTTGGATTCTAACTTTGAACTATCTGCATCTGCAATTGATCAAATCACCGCTATTACACAACAAGAAACATATAAGCAGTCATCTCATGATATTAAAAAGTCGGGTCCTGCTCCGCTGCCATCAGGAATCCCTGTACAGACACGAGCAGATGTTGTTATTGAGTCTAATACTGCTCCACAGGGTACGATGTTGATGTTACTAATTCTGTAGTTAGTATGTAAATGATAGGTTCTTGATAGTTTTTTATTTTTTATTTAAGTAGTGATGCTGATAATACTTTTATGTGTTTAGCATATCGGGTTGATGGTGTTGGTCAAGTGGATGTTGGTGGAAGTAATGTGAATTTGTCTTCTGGTAATGTCTTCTATATATAACTTTTCATTCTTTTTTTCTAAATTTCTTAACTTTGTATATTTATTTATTCACTAGCATTTTCTAATTTAAGCTCCATGTCGACACGGGGGTGATCTTCACTTGGATTCTGATTTTGAATATACTGATTCTCAACTTGATCTAATTGCTTCCATTACACAAGGAGGGAGACGTAATGTAAATCAATCTGGAAATGATCTGACAACTCGTGCTGTAAATAAGTCTAAACCTGATCAGTCGGTATCAAGAAATATTGTTCAGATACAAACAGATGTTGAAACTACTCCTGCAGTTTTAACACGGAAAAGGCGCCCCGCAGCTGTAAAACAGTCACCGTATAGGAATGACTGGCAATCTGGTGTTAGTGCAGTTGGGGGATCCTCGAAGGTTATCAAAGGAAGATTTCCATTTGTAAATGACATTTCAGAGACTGTTGATTTTAAGCTTACGACTGCATTCTCAAACTTTGTTGAAGCAAACATGCAATTGGGAGAGTGCGTATTCGTTTCCATGTACTTTTGTTTTCATTTTTTCTTAATGTTTGTTGTTATATTTCTTATCCATATCTTCTTTTATACGAAATAGGGAAGTGTATTTACCTGGTGATCAAAAGCTAGAGCCTTGTTTTGACTTTGAAGTTGAACAGATTGATGATAAGACGTTTTTCCATACCTTAAACTATTCTGGCAGGCCGCTCTCTAGTTCGGTATGTGTACTGCTTTTTATTTTTGTTGTTGTAGTAGTTCATTCATATTGTTAGTGGTAGTCATGTTTTCTTCCTCTCTTTTTTGCAGTACTTGAATATTATATTCTACTATCTTAGAAAGAAGGCGAAATATGGAATTAATATGCCAATCAAAGTCACAACTACAGATACTCTTTTTAATAATATCATTCAAAGGGTTTTCACAGAATTTGTAAAAGGTGGGAAACAAGATCATTTGATTGATAGATCAGACGATATCATGGAGTACATGAAAGGATTTAGGATGCATTGCAATACTCCATGGCACCAGGTTGATCATGTCCTTTTTCCAATTAATTTGGCATTGGATATTGGGGTGTGTGTCATTCCACAAGAGATGTTTTTATGTATATGACTCGCTACGTAATCGAAAGCACAAAAAAGCTATTCATAAAGTGGCAGAGGCTTATGCTGTGTTGATCCCCCTATTTCTAGTTAGTATTGAATTTTATAACCAAAGAAGTGACATTGTAGTAGAAAATGGTCTGCACATGGGAAAGAAGTTGACTGATCCTTTTGATATTGAACTGATTACAAATCTGCCAACACAGCAAAATTCGTAAGAATAGTTACTTTTTTTTTTACTTTGTTTTCCTCATTCATATTAACATTTTCACTTCTAATTGATTTTTATATTCTATTCATTTGTTTTATTTCAGAGATTGTGGAGTATATGTTGCTTGCTTTGCAGAGTATATTATTGAAGATCTTCCAATCCCTGTTGCCAATTTTGATGTGGATGGTCTTCGAGCTAGGTTTGGTATACTGTTGTGGCACTATGGGAGGAACAAGCAGTTGCATGGCGAATCAAGTGAATCTGAGGCTCCAGTAGCACCTAAAAAGACTCGTGGAAAGAAACGCAAGAAGTAGTATAGGTCTCTTTTTGGTTTTAGTTAATTGTATCATGAAAACTTTGCAGGATTTTAATAGTTTTTGGTGAAGTATGGTATTAGTAGTAGTAAATGACCTTCTGCTGATTTAAGACTGTAGGAAACTTGTGCCTTTATAAAATATTTCCAGCTGCTAATGTTTCTTTTGTCATATTTAATTATTCTGGTTCAAAATATGTGGTAATAGATTTCTTCAAGTACATGGGGTTATCAGTTTAGTTATGTCTCTTGATGCTGAAAATTTGCTGATTTTGTTTCTTATTTCAGCTTGTTTTATTAGGCTTTTCTTAGGCTTCTTCCATAAAGTTGTTAGTTTATTAGGATGCCGAGGTCCATGCCTTTGCCAGAGGGTAAGGTTTAATGGATTCAGCAAGTGAAAATTAGGGGCAGATGAAGTGAA